TAGAGGATCTACAAGCTCCACGGAGCCTCCCATACGCACCACTTTGTATAAAGGTAAAAAATATTTCATGGCTTCATCGTAGATCGATGAATCGGAATAATATATTTTAACTTGTAGATTATCATCTCTTATTTGTCTTATTAGGATCCTCGAGAATATTTTGATTCCCAACAAGCAAATGCTCTGAGATCTTTAGGTGGCAACAATGATGGAAGACATGCTCGTAATTGCAGGCTGAGTACAGATGATGCATTTGATCATTTGTTGGGCCAAATATCTTCTATAAAAGTTAATGGGTTGAACTATCCGGTTATTCAGTCTGATGTGGCTCTTAAGGTAAATGATTTTACACAGTACACTAATATGGATATTTAATTATGTTAAGCCATCTTTGTGGAGTAGGCCATATCTCCCTGAAATAGGCAACCTCCTTAAGCTGGTACATTATTGCTAATAGTCTACTACCTCCAGTGAAAAAAGTGATGTTTCAGGATGCAGTCAAACATCATACTTTGCATATTGGGCATTTTTTTACTATGCATTTTATAAGTATTGTACAATAATTTGATTGTTCTAAAATTTATAATTCATTGGTCAAAGTCATGTTTTGTAAACTACCAATGTCATGGGTAGTGGCCGAGAGGTTGAGGCCCTAGTGTCCCTAGGGAACGGTTCCCTTGTCTTACGGTAGCTCACTTGGATAGTCTAGACTGGATCCTTCCCTCCATCTATATAAGGATGGATTGTATCGTTATTCTAATTAAGCAATGAATCAGAATTAGTCTCCCCCAACCCTAAGTCCCTCTCTCATCCCTTTCAGCCGTCGCCGCCTAGCTATCCTCCCAGTGGTATTTACCCTCTATGCCCTAACCCATAACAACCAATGTCCCAAAAGCACTTTTGTGGCTTAGGAAATTATTGCTAAACATAATTGTTGGATACTAAGATCAAGGGGAAATATAGAACAAGGGTTTAGAAACTAGTTTGAATAGCACAAACTTTTGAAATAACTGTCTTGTTAGTTTTCTTACATGTACTAGACCAGAAGTTGATGATGAAAGCTGCATTTGAGGACCATGTTGATATCCAAATTACTTGTGACTGGAGGGTAATTCTTGAAACTTGTTTGGATTTTGGGTGATGTAGCATTTCAGATTGTACAAACATTTTAAGAAATTTACTATGTTGACCAACAAAGTTTTAGTTAACTGTGCAGTATGTAGCTATGAGAAAGCCTCTGCACATCTGATTTTTCCATCCACACATGTTCTGCATGACGTTGCACTACTGTTACTGTGGCTTCTCTATTCTTAAGCTATTAAATTGCATGAGCAGGAAAACCTAACTACCTGCATGGTATGGGCTTAGGTTCTGAATGAATTGAATGAAGGAATTTCACGTTCAAGAAGACTTAATCTTAAGAATCCTCAAGATAGTCTGCTTGGTCAAATCCCTCGACGCACACGAGATGAACTTATGGATGTGAGATGCTGACTTCATTTTCTGTACTGAATATTTTCTGCATTTATTTGTTTTATGTTTTTTAGTTCCTGTATTACAGAATTACTTATTGTAAACTCTGTTTCTTAGCACTGGGCAGCTATCCAGGAATTATTGCAGCATTTTTGGTCATCATATCCAATAACAACTTCAGTTCTTTATAATAAGGTATATTATCAGTCCCAGACTTTTCTGCACCATTACGTAATTTATGTGTAGCATTTGGATGGTAATCAGTATCAGTAGATTACTGGGTCACAATAAATTTGGTTCCTATAGTGATTTTGTCAATGTAGTTTTCCTTTCCTAGAGTGAAAGGAAAATTTTGCCCATTAATTATGAGCGGTAAGTTAACTAAATATTAAGTCTGGCACTCAGAAGAAAAAAAGGGTTCCCAAAGTGAACAGTTTCAATTGTGGATTCAGGTGGTAGCAGCATGGTTATCTGTTCACTGTTGCGAATTTATTTGTAAAAGTAAATGCAACATCATGAGAAATTCATCATAGCCTAGTTTTTATGTTTGTTTTGGCTGTACAACAGCTCTTTTTGTTTTTTCTGCATATTGCACTGAATTCTGTAAGAAAAAAAATATTACTGAAAGCAGACTAAGTAATTTTATACTTCATTCATCTGAAAATATAAGGCTTATTTTGAGTTGATACATGAAATCAAGTAGGGTATGAAACTGAGGAAGAGAAGATAAAATGACTACTCTATTGCTACTTAAATGAAATATCTTTGAAACAGGATAGGGAATGTTAATGAGATGTTCTGAGAAATGTAGGAGAATATGTAAAGGCAAATAAGGAAAACCACCAATAACTTCCAATGCATGCCTTATATTTTGCAACAAATTTTGAAAAATTCTGCCTTATAAAAAGAAACAAAAGGGGAATGCAGTCATGTGGGTGGAATAGCTGTACAACCAAGACTAAGCCTTGAACTATATTTGCAAGATTAAGAATTCAGTGTTTATGTTTTTGTACTTCTGTGGCAGGTTCAAAGAATTAAGGATGCAATGACCCAGATATATCAAAAGTTGCAGGTAATCTCCATCACAATTGCCTCTTTATCTTCTTCGAGTTCATCATGTGGAGTACCTTAGTTTTTACCTTTTGAGCATGAGTTACTGATAAGATGATAGCTAGCTGGAATTGCTCTTCCTTAAACTATAGTTTCCCTCAAACATGTTACAGAAATGGGTTTGTATTGAAATTGACTTCAAACTTTCTTATGATGTTATGGAACTGTACCTTGTTTTGGTGATGAAATTCTCACTGGACCCCTATTCATATGCATAACTTCCACCTGCAGGATATAAAGGAATCAGCACAACCTGATGTGAGACACGAAATATCTCAACTAGTAAAGCCCATGACCCAGGTTCTTATCTATATCCTTTTTTGTCCCATTTCCAATTTTCCATATGCAAAATAGATTTATTTCAGCTTCATTATGACGACTCAATCATGCTACTGTACTGCATGAGTTTCCACATTCTTTTCGAGCTACCCTTTGTTTAGCATTTCTTTATGCTCATTGTGTTGCAGCTTATCTGTATTAGCATTGCTTGACAGTTGATATTTTAACTACTACTACCTATTAACTGTTCAGCGGTGCTCACTTGCTGTCTTTGTACACGTATCAGCATGTCTTCTTTCATTTGCATATTGATGATCTTCTTCAACTGCTGAAATGCCATCAATCTGGTTATATTTACTTTCCAGGCTTTGGATGCTGCCTTCAACCATGACTTGGAGCAGCAGCAAAAATCATCGAAATCCGGGAATAAGCCCAATGGGTTTTAACTTTAGCCGAGAAGACTAGCTTCGGCGACGGATTAGGGATTGATTTACTGCTAGAGCAAGAGGGCTACTTGCAGTTCTGGAGGGGTTACCTCCTTGAGCCTTGATTCTCATGTATATTTACCTGAGCTTTATAGTGGTGGGCATAACGTGCTTACTAAACGCCCCAATTTTTCAGTGCCTGATTCATTCCAGGCATACTCTGGGATGGTTTGTGTTCATCACAGTTCCAGGTAGAACCAAAATTTTGTGTACACTTTGGAAAGAAGGAAAAAAAATGAGCACGCGTTGATGCTGCGTTCCTTACCCGTCATTCTGCATTGTTCGTGCAAGTTGTAGACGACAATTTTGATATGGTCGAGTTTATGCATGGACAATGGTTCACTCTTGCTGTGTTGCAAGCTTGCAGTATGGCAAACAGAATGAAACTGCAGGATTGTTGCTAGTTTTCTGGTGACCGCTGGTTAAAGCATGTAACGTTCACCGTGAGCAAAAGGCATCTCCGACCGGAGCGATCTGCAGTCCACGGGAAGAAGGCCCAAAGAGAAAACCAAAAGAAATGGAAAAAGAAGGCCGAAAAAAACGAAATGAAAAGGAAAAAAAAAATAATTGCACGCCCAGTGGGACTCGAACCCACAATCGCCTGATTAGAAGTCAGACGCCTTATCCATTAGGCCATGGGCGCTTTGTTGCTGTGGGGTCCAGCTTTAACTAAATGTAAGAATTCGTTCTTCTGTTCCTTTGCTTCGACAGAGAGATAATTTGGAGTATGAATTAATCATCTAATGTCTAAAAGCAATTAACATGATATGAATTAATGAGAGAAGAAAAAATAATATTAACTAAGGAAGAATGAACTATATAGGTATACAAGATATTATAAAAAATGATAAAGATATATTTTAAAATATTATGTGAATTATGTGGGATGATTTAATATGCTTGCATAAAATTCTAAAATTTAATAAATTATAGAATTATAAATAATATAGCATGCTTGCATGATGTTTAAGATGTAATAATTGTTGGTGAATGATAATGTGACATCTTTGCATATTGAGTTTTAAGATTGAGTGGGTTAAACGTTATAGTAAGATAGGATTAGAAAACTAACAAGTGAGGTGGATCTTGTTTTAAGGAAAAATGGAATTTCCTTAGTCAACGATAGTGGGCCTGTTCGGTAGCCTATTTTCGCAACTGTTTGGGCTGTGCCGCACAACCCAGCCGTTCGGCTGCAGTGGTCTAGGCTGTGTTGCATAGCCCAGTCGTTCGGTTGTGGAAACGGCTGCAACCCACTCCCCGCAAAAAAAAAGTTGGTTTCTCGCGAAAAAAAAGAAAGTACCTATACATCTTTCGAAAGATTTTTATAATCGTATCACACAGATTTTTAATCTTTATATTAAAATCTGATAGATATAATAAAAAGCAAAAAGCAATTAAGAAACACCATAATGGACACTAAATTACCATATCCTCAAGAAAAAGACCAAATCAAATATAAAATTTAAAATTTACATGCGAAGATTCAAAAATTACAGTGTAACTTACAAAAGTTATAGTGTAAGTTTCATAAATTACACTGTAACTTACAAGAAAATGCACTGTAAGTTTGAGTTAGAAAATCGAGTGAGAGATAAGAAAAAAATCTTTCGAGTGAGATATAGCGAAATCCAAAAAAAATGACGCCCCTCTTCTAGTTCCCATCTCCCAGTCCTATCGCGTAGCCCACACTCCACCCTATCGCGCCTTCTCTTCCATCGCCACGGCCCACACTCTGCCGAGCGCGTCTCGATCCCCTCCGCCTTCTCTCCCGTCCTCCTCCTGCCGAGCCACGCCGTGCCTTCCCGATCTCCTCCACGTTCTCTCCCATCCTCATCCCTCCGAGCCGTGCCGTGCCTTCCGGTCGCGCCCGACGCCACCCCTTCCCATCCCCTTCCTTTTTTCCTCTCACCACTCCCGATATGATCGATTAAATCCAATAGGATGTGAAGTTCATCTTGATTCAGCTGTGGGGGTTGAGGGGAGGGGAAGCTCGACAGTCGGCTGGAGTTAACCTCATTAGGGTGTGGTTGTTGAGGGGATAGAGTGCAGCCAAGGGAAACATCCCGTCGGGCAAGACCCACGCTGTGTCGCTGGCGACGTCTTCTCCCCCAGATCCGTCCAGGTCCGGCAGTTAGGAGGTAAGAATCATCTCCCTTTTGTGATTTTTGATCTTGCATTTTTAGGGGTATTTGTGTATGGCACCATTCGCCATGTCAACTCGGCCGAAGGGCACCTTGTGCAGGCATACGAACTGCTGATTTGATTCTTGGACATTTGTAGGACCGCAACCAGAAGCGCTGGCACATAACCTGAGACGATATGGCACCACGGAGCGGTTGGCACTTGTAAGGTCACAAGAGCGACTTGTACGTAGGAATCCTCAATCTGAACAAACGATTTCCCTCCGCCGGTCGACATCGTCATGGTCTCCACCTGAAGCCGCATGATACAATCTGCGTACAACTCCTGCACGGCAGAACTAACTCAAGGCAAGCATTGCTTTCTCATATTAGTTATCAGTGCGAAAAATGTTTTGCATACCTGCAACTTGATGTTAGTACTGTGTTTAAGATCTCAAAAACTCCTAAGTTGGACTACATGTAATGCAAAATTACACATAGATGGCTGGTGGTCGCACCTATTGGGACAAAGCCCTCACAAAGATATTCCTCGACTTATGCATTGCTGAGAAGACAAAGCGCAATCACAACAAGAAGGGTCGTACCAACATAGGTTGGCAGAATTTATATCGCAATTTCAGAGAACAATCAGGCAAGAACTATGACAGTAAACAGCTTCAAAACAAATTTAGCACCTTTAAGAGACAATACAAGCTATGGAAGAGCCTAAAGAATAAGAGCGGAGGTGGGTGGGACAACAATTCTAGCACCATAAGGTGCGATGATGATTGGTGGGAAGACCGTATTGAGGTAACTACATGTGAATATTGATTTTACTACAAAACTAATATTGAGTTTTTGTTATTGTCTCGTCAAACTTACATTGTCCATATCTGACTTGTAGGAGAATAGGGATGCCAGACAGTTCCGTGGAAAGCCGCTTGAACATGAGGATGAGCTGACTACTCATTTTGGTTGCATGGACACCGAAGAAGGTACAATGTTGTGCGTAGGTGGTATTGGCAAGAGAACACCAAGCAGTGGAAGCGATGACAACCTTACTCCGATGTCTAACGACAATGTCGGCTTGTCTAGTGCTGGCCGTGTGGCTTAAAGGGCAGGGAAGGAGCAGGTGGTTGACCGCCCACCACCCAAGAAGAGTAAAAATATGGAGTACTATGTAGGGTGCGTATCAGAGAGTATGCTCGAAAGAAGCAGGAATGAAAGCAGTGTGCTCAGGGGAGAGCAAGATGAGATAAAAGAATTGCTGCAACTTGTAGAAGAGGATGGTGTGGCTCAAGGATCTGAGTTGTATTTCATAGCTACTGACCTATTTAGGTCAGCTGCACGATGGGCAGCTTTTAGGTGTATTTACCCTGCAGAGAATCGTAAAGCATGGCTCCGATGGACTTGGGACAATGCTAGGAAAAAGTGATACCAGTCCATGCTTAGTTGTCGCACACGGTGTTTGATTGTATATACCCATCGCCAACACGACGTGGCATTATGTAATCGGTTGTTTGACCTTGGCATACTCTTATGTTATGCATTATGACCTTATTTGCTTTGCTACTTTATCATATAAATTTGTATCAGTCGGCTAGTCATTTCATATAGATCTACTTGTCCTTTCTTTATTCTTTTTTTTACTTGAAAATTGAATAACCATGTTGCATCCTCACCTACTGTAGAACAATGGAAAAATGCACTACACTGATTTTGTACATGCATACATTTTGTAACGGAAAAAGTACGAATTACCCCGCTGAACTATCGCAGTCGACTGAATTACCCCCGAACTCAGAAACCAGACATAGCTCACCTTAAACTATTAATACCGAACGAATTACCCCCCTCGACACTGTTCAAAGTGGTTTTGGCTTGAGCTTGCACACGTGGTGCTAACGTGGCAATCCAGTCAGAAAAAGACTCCTTGGGCCCACTTGTCATATCTCTCCCTCCCCCTCTCTCTCCTAGGTCCCTCTCTCTCTCTGCCCGGCCCCTCTCTCTCCCTCTCAGATAGGCGGCTGCAGCCGGCGGACGGGCTCGGGCATGCAGCTGTGGACGGCGGCACGGGGGGAGGACGCGGCAGCGGCGGGTGGCGCCCTCTCGTGCTCCGTGTCAACAGCGATGGGGGCGGCAGCACAGCGCGGGAGGACGCGGCGGCGGCGGGCAACGCCCTGTCGAGCTCCGTGTCAACGGCGCCGCGTCCACCCCCGATGGCTGCGGCTGTGTCTGCACCATGACGTGCGCGTTAACGGCTCCTCGTTGTCGAACTCCATCCCCTCAAATGGGTCAACGCCGTCGTAGACGACGGCCCGCGCCACATACGCCGCCGCCGCCGCCGACCTTGCCGAGCCGTTCCCGGCGGCGTCAGCCTCCATCTCCGCAGCGTAGTCGACGTTGTCGTTGTCGTTGTCGGCGGCGGCGGTGGCGGCGGCGGTGGTCCGACGAGGGGGTGGAGGAGGTGGGGGCATGGTGGGGGGGGGGGGTGAGGAAGAAGGGGAGGGGAGGGGCGTGGCCGGCCGCACCCGCAGCCGCCTCCGCTCGCCCCGCCGCGTGCTGCCTTGCTCGCCAATAAGGCGATAACGCGAGAGAGAGAGGAAGAGGAGAAAGAGGAGGGGATAGAGTATATATGACGGGTGGGGCCTATCATTTAAAAAAGAAAATGCTGACTGAAATGTACGTAGAACAAAACCGTCCTAGATTGGGTCGGGGGGGGGGGGGGGGGTAATTCGTAGCCTCCGCTGGCGAAGATGGGGTGAGCACTGCACCACTTCTCGGTCAAGCATAGCCGCCGCTGGCGAGGAGCTTAGCCTGGGCTCGGCACGAAGCTGTTCAGCAACGGAAGCCCAGAGACCCAAATTCGCTCCGAGCTCAATCGTCTCTTCTCTTCTCCGATTGTTTCTCCATTTTATCAATTTCAACAAAATCAAGGGAACAGCAAGGCTAATTAAGCTAAAAACACACTGATCGATTTCCCACTAGATCATGCCGTCAGAGTTCGCGGAGAGCAGCCTCGCCGGCTGCCGCCTGCTCCTGGTAGTAGGGCAGCACGGTGTACACGGTCTGCAAGACGGTGAGGACGAGGAGCACGAAGGCGACGACGAGCGAGACGATCGCCCACGGGTTGCCGGCGTGGTTGCGGACGAGGCTGGCGCGCCACTGGTTCCACCGCTTCTCCCTGTACGCGTTCACCTCCCCGTGCACGCCGTGCAGCGCGCTCCGCCGGTCCAGCTCCGCCTCGCTCGCCAGCCGGTTGAACATCTCCGCCACCGCCTCGTCGCTGCCCAGCCCGTTGGACACCACGCCGCTCGCGCCCAGCAGCCGCGCGTCGTCGCCGGACTTGATCACGTTGTCCATGAAGAACACGTACGCCGTCACCTCGTTGGCGCCGGCGCCGTGCAGCTGCTCGAATGCCATCAGGCTGAACAGCTTGTGCTCCGTCGTGTCGTCCACGGCGAGGCGCGGGATGCGGAGCGCGCCGTGGCGGAAGCTGATGTCGTGGAGGCTGCGCGTCCGGCTGGGACGGAACCGGACGCCCGCCTGGTCGAGCTCCGTCGCCGACGGCACGAACTCCTCTCGCCTCCCCGTATGGCACGGCCTTGGCGGCGAGCCATGGAGCAGGCTCCGGTGGCAGACGTCGAGCGGGTGGAGCGCCAGGCCGCCGCCGCCTCTCATCGCCGGCGGGTCAGGGATCATCGACACGAAGCTGAGCACCATGTTGTTGATCGCGTCGTCGCTCTGCAACCAAACGCCGGCGAGTTAATCAGCAACTAATCGAACACTCGAGTTGATCAGAGCAGCAGCATACCACGACGCACGCACCGCTTCAGGGGCGGCGCCGCCGTGGACGAAGGCGACGATCCGCTGGAGCACGAGGAGCGGCAGCTGGTTCTCGATCATGAGCATGTCGCGGCGGACGTACGGGAACACGTACAGCTCGCCGTGGCGGCTGAACACGGGGTCGTTCGCCGCGTAGCCTCCGCCCACGCCCTCGCCGTCACCGTCGCCCTGCGCCGCCTCGGCCGCCGCGCGCATCACCTCGAGCAGGAAGCACCCATCCAAGACCATCATCTTCAAGAACCCGTCGCGGTCGTCCCTCCACTTGGTGGCGCCCAGCCCCTGGTACGCGTCCTGCAGCTCCACCACCACCTCCTCCATCGACGCCACGAGGCTACCCAGCCGCAGCCGCCGCCCATCGCCGCCGCCGCCGCCGCGGCGGAGCAGGTGCAGGAGCGCCCTCTCCTTGTGCTCCTCGGCCGGCCGGAGCTCGGGGACGCCGTGGTGGAAGGGGCCGAGCGACACCAGCTGCGGTGCGCCGTAGGAGGTGCGATGCTTGATGTACGCCGGCACGCGGTACACCGACTGCCTCCGCCACCGCCTCGCCTCCTCCTCCGATGGGTTGCCGCCGGCGTCGAGCAGGTGCTCGACGTGGGACACCCATTGGCTCGTCGTCTTCACCCTCTGCTGCTCCTCGCCTTCCATTTGGTGAGATTTCTTGATGTTGCTTGTCGCGTCAAAGGTTGGGGGAAATTTTGAGTAATAATATACTACTACTCTAAATCCCCCGCAAAAAAAAAAATATACTACTCTAAATCGAGATTACAGAGCAAACAATATTTTTTAGGCACCGTCCAGCCATTGCTACTGCCATAACGTGGTCTACTTTGTCACTCGAACAACAAAAAATTCATTTACTTTCGGCAATGTTCGACAAGTCAAAATTTAAAAGGGGCTTAATGACTTGTTAATACATACGGTCATTGTGTATGTGAGAAAGTACAACATTACATCGCTGTCCTCGTATCTACAGGGAAGTGGCCATTTGGGTCCACTCCCATGCAATGTTTTCACTTTCGTTTTCCACCGAAATTTTGAAATTTTGGAACTATTCTTTTTGCACGAGTCACTTATACTTTCATCATCCCCCTCTTCAACTCAATTAGGTACAAAGGACCCCCCACAAGTCCACTACTCAATTTTTCTTCTAACTTCCTCCCCACACATCCAGTTTTCACTCATTACTTTTCTCGTTTGCTCAATTTCTCATGACCCGTGTGAGCCTCCACACCGTGGTGGTATCATGGGAACCATAGAACAAGGATGCAGCATGACGCTCGCTCCCTGGGGCAGTTATCTATCAGCCATGATTCCAATTTCGAACAGCACAACAACAACCTGGTCCAACATGTTTCAGGCCCTGAAGACTCCAAAGTCCAAAGCAGCAAACTGATACTCCTGTACCATGTAAGAGAGTTCCATCTCTCATGGCAGACGTTCGAGAGGGTGGAGCGCTAGGCCGCTGCTGCCGCTCATCGCTGGTGGGTCAGGGATCATTGACACGAAGCTCAGTACCATCACTACTACAAAACATCAAATAGATACCGCTATTACAGATGCTAGAGTAGGTAAAACCGGTACCTATAGCTCCTTTCCCTATCCATGCGTCTATCAACCCGCCAAAATCCAAAGAATCAGCACCTTTATCCTCAAATAGGTGCCAGTTTTTAAAAAGAACCGGCACCTATTACTGGTGTCAGAGAAAGATGCCGGTTTTTATTGAAAATCCGGCACCTTTTAGTATCCATCCCATCGGAATAGTAGGCGTAGGGCCCACCTAAGAACCGGCATCTTTGTGGTTAAAGAAATAGGTGCCGGTTTTTTTTAAAAAAACCGACACCGAGGCGAGCCACACGGGGAGCCCCCACATTCTTATCCATCCATCAGAGTCAACTGACTCGTATCTCTCTCTCTCTCTCACGCGCGCGCGTCTCTTCGCCTCTCTCGAACTCTCTCTCTTTTTTGCGCCTCCTCTCTCACCTTCTCCTCCCCGGCGGCTGAGGGAGGTGGCGGCCGCAGTGGCGGGAGGCGGGGGCAGCGAGAGGAGAGGTGGCAGCGGCAGTGGTGGGAGTTGGCGGCAGTAGAGGTGGGAGGTGGCGGCAGCGGTCGGCGGCAGGAGGAGAGGCGGCAGCGGTCGGCGGCGGGAGCACCCTCCCCTCCGCCAAATCCAGCGAGAGGGGAGGCAACGATAGCGGCAGCGGCGGGAGGTGGCGGCGGTAGAGGCGGGAGGTGGCGGGAGGAGAGGCAGCAGTGGCGGGCGACGCCCTCCCCTCTGCCAGATCCGGTGGGAGGGGAGGCAGAGGCAGCAGCGGCGGGGCTCATCATCCTCCTCGCCCAGCCCCTTCTCCTATGCAACTTCGTACCACTTCGGCGGCGGTACGATCTGATTTCGTCTCTCCTTTTTTCTTGCCTACAACTTGTTGAATTTGCATGCAAAATTTTAGAGAGACCTGATAATTTACTGGTATGTGTTGAACTGAACCGGTTGAACTATTTCTGTTGATAAATTTGGGGAGACTATTAACGACCAAATTTGGTAAGATATGAACCAAGTTCGATATTGGAATCGAAGCGGATTCGGCAAAGATTCGAAGAACAGAGTATGCATCGGCTGCGAAGGCATCGGCTGGAGTATGCATCGGCTGAGATGGATTGGATAGGGGATGGTTGATGCAGCCGATAGAGCCAATACAGCCGATTCCGATGGGGATGGCTCCGAAGCTGTTTCTAGAATCGATCAACGTGATTCACAAGGATTGCCGCGATGGAGATAAAGCTCTCAGAAAAGCAATTGTATCTATTAATTAGGATATTTTGTTAGAGATATATCTGGGCAAAAGTCTGCGGTAAAGACTTATGGTATATTAGAGCCTCTTAGAGATAAGAGTCGTGTCCGACAAGGACATGTTTTGTATCTCAGGTATAAATATGACCCGAACCCAATGTAATCGATAACATCAGTTCAATAACACTTTTGGCACATCGCCACCCTTTTTTACTTTCATTCTATTTTGACGAGTTCTTGCTTTCGGGTTGAGCTGCATCGATTCGATCTTCAACTAGAGGTAAACTTGTAATGGCGGTTTGCGTTCTCGGGATCAGTGCTTCCATCTTTATGATACTCTAATCTTATTTATGTAATTCGTCAAGTTATCATATATACTTTATAATCTCTGTTAATTGCGTTATATAACTTGCCATCGGCTGGTTTTTACTACTAGAAAGTAGCCGATAGAGTTAGATCTTGTTATTAATCTAGATTATATTGTGTATCTACCATCTCTTAGAGATTTTCATTATCTTGCTTAGATCTTACAGTTATCTTTATGCTTAATGCTGCATCGGTTGAGTTCGATCTATTAAGTTATATCTATAATTGTGATATCTAGCCTGTTTTATGATTATCAATAGAGATAGTATCGGAGTTTTAGCCGATGCTAACTGCTTTAGCTATTCTTATCTCATATGCTTGCTTGTCATGCTAAATCTGCCCTTTATATTAAGATCTTGTTGCACTAAAGTTATATTAGGCTTCTTGTTTGATATATCTTGCTTGTTTTGATATCTTGGTATAGAGTGGTATCGAAGTATTAGCCGATACATGCTAGATCTATTTGATTGGCTATGCTATAAACTAATATATAATCTTCGCTTTAATATATATTTCGGCTTAAGTGATTTATACTGTCTCGGCATGGTGACCGATCTATCCCAATCACTTAGTTTAAGTATATACCGAAGTAAAGACTATATGTTGTTAATATCTACAGTCGATCGAGTAGATTTGGTTTTATCTTATTCATTCATTGCTGCCGATCGATTCAAACATGACATCAGCTCAAAGATATATAAATGATATGTCATCGGCAACTAGCCGATCGGCTATCGTTTATGGATTTAACTGCGGTTTTTCTTGTCTTTACTCTTGTTGATTGCAGGATCAAATCAACAGGCACTCTCACGAATCTAAAAGCAAGATTTTGGACATGCATAGGAGTTAAGCAGATCTTTCAGGCCAGTGTGTGTTTTTCGCATCAATAGAGACCTGGTAATTTTTTTGGAGGGCTCATCTTGTTCCTATTCTTGTTCTGAATTGGTGTGTTCTTGATTGTTCGAGGTGAAAGGGAGCTGCTCACCTCGATGAATCGAGCCGATGCATCGAGCCAGCTTTTTTTTTTATTCCTCAAACCTTAAAGGTGCCGGTTCTAAAACCTAAAAAACTGACATCTTTACCTATATAGATGCCGGCTCTAGAACTAGCATTGATGACCGAAGTCATCAGTGCCGCCTCCGTGGTGCCGGTTGGGAAAACCGGCACCTAGGGGGTTCCTAACTGGCACCGATTAGGGTTTCTGTAGTAGTGCAAGTTATTCACCATGTCATCGGTCTGCAGCCAAACGCATGTTGATTAGCAGCTAAATCGAATATTCGAGTTTATTATATCATCGCAATAGCATGGTATGGCCGTCGACGCGGTAACACACCGCTTCAGGGCATTGCCAAGAACGGAAACTAACTTTTTAGGGAGCTTCTTTGAAACACGTGATTGACAAAGGAGGATTATGAAAAACTAACTTTTTAGGGAGCTTCTTTGAAACACGTGATTGACAAAGGAGGATTATGAAAAACGTAAGATTTTGAAAGAAATGCGAGTGCAAAACACAGGAAAAATATAAATATATGAATGGTCGTTTGAATAGATCGTAGGAAAACCATAGGAACCACAGAAAACACATTGGATTTTCTAAGAGGTTTAAGCTCTTGATACCTTCCTTCAAAATATCTTTAGGATTTTCGAAGGACGGTATATAATTCAATCCTTTGTTTGGAAAGACCTTGTAAGGAAATTTTCAAAAGGGGCCTTAGCTTTTACTTATGCTTCATCATGATTCTCTAACAGTTTAGCATTCGGATGTGGTGTTATGATCTGACGTTGATGTTCTAAATGCGGTGTAGCGTAAAGGACGTTGGTGTTCCAATTTGTTGTCGCATTGGGAGCGAGGTCTGGTGCGAGGGTCTAGTACTCTTGTTAGACGGTCAAACACTTTCGTATGCTAGGGCTGATGAGCAAAGGGGGTTTGTAGATTTTGTAAGCTACTAATTCGTAATGAGCTAAGCCTATAAATCACCCTAATACGGAATTTGGGATTAACTAACTGTTGTTTAAAGTGTTAGTGATATGCCCTAGAGACAATCATAGAGATGATTGTATCACATACTATGTTTACATATTTGTCCGACATTGTTCCTTGAAATAGATAACTCCTTATTGGTTAATGAATATGTGATTCTTTCATGAGACTCTTTATGTTGTTTGTTGCTATTTCGAAAGGATCCCTGATCAAAAATCATATGTGGAACAAATATGTTTAGATGATCAGCACATGTATTAATTGATGATCATGTCTCATGGATCATGGTATAGAGATACCAAATTAATAATATAGACACATGTTAGTGAACATGTTGTTGGATAGACCCAACATGAGACACTGCAAGAGCCATATGTGTTGTGTTATCAGTGATCTCATTTAGTGTTGGTATTGAATCCTTAGACCTGAGATTATCATGGTTCCCAACATATGTAGTAGCTTACTTAGGGACTGCTAAGCGCTACTCCGTAATTGGGTAGTTATAAAAGTAGTTTTCGGTTATGCTACGAAATATGTAGTGGGATATGAATAATGAAGATGGGATTTGCC